CACACAAATAAATAAATAAAATTTAAAAAAGTAATCTGGAAGACATGCAAATAGTTCTTAGTTTTCTAACAACTTCTCAGTAACTACTCGAAATATAAGGACCGATTTAAGATAAAAACACACTGGATATGTTCTGGCCCATTAGAGTCAAATTTTACTAAGTGTAAGAGTCTAATCAACTTGACAAGTAGATATCAAAGGAGATACATAAAATTAAAGCTCAGATAACTATAGTTAACAATCTTAATATTTTGAATTGGAAAGTACAGAGGGTTCCGAATGTTTGCAACAGAAATGTTTGAAGTGATGTTGCCAATTACCCTAATCAGACCATTACATACCATCTATATGTATTTAAGGGCCACAGTGTACTGCGCAATTACTGAAAATCAGGCTGGGGCTGTGGCTCAGAGGTAGAACACATGCTAAATATGCTTGAAGCCCTGGGTTCAATCCATAGCTGAATTCTCTAGCGGTGCATTTTTAAAATGGAACTAAATCAAACTCCAATTGGTAAGTTGTGTACTTAACACAAAAGAATACAATACAAATTTCACTTATCCTACAGTTAATTAGACTTTCACACTAGGAAATCTCTTTCTTTTCTGACCTTTCTCTTCTGTAAACTGTGATATTTATCATCTGCAACACTGGTGAATTATGGCGTAATTATACACTAGATTACTATCTGACCGTGTGCACTGTTTTCCTTAAGACACAAAATGACCAGTATAATTTTTTAAATATCAAAGGAAGTTTGTTCTTTATGTTAGCTCCAGATTCTAAAGTTAAAAAATCCTAGTTGATATTCAAAAACATACCTATTTGAGAGCTAAAAAAGAAACTACTCTTCCAACTTTACTACAAATCCAAACTTGTTATTTAGTAAATATTTGTAGTTTCATGACAAGATTAACTCTCCCTTTGAAACCAGGGATATGCACAGGGTGTAAAGAAACTGAAAAGTTTGGATTTAATTTTGTAATAGAATATTTTACTTTTATTGTTTTATGTATTTGGTACAGTCTCTTACACAGCTTGGACTTGTAGTGACCCTCCTGTTTTCAGCCTTCCCAGCACTGGGATCACAGGTATGCCATACCTGGACTAGGTCGCTGCTCAGCATGCCCAGGGGTGGGGCTGGCACGGCACGTGCTGCCGGGGATCGAACCCTGGTCCCTGCGCTTGCCTAAGCAGGTGCTTAGACCTGCTCAGCTATCTCCCTGCCCTCTAAGCACTAATCTCAAATCAAGAGACTCATAATTAGCTGCTGTCCCTTTTGAAATATTGTCACTATGGCTTACAGTTATGGAAAAAGGATAAGAAAATATTTGTGATAGGGGTTAAGAAAAATTATTTTATCATTCATCATGAATAACAAATCATGAAGCTATAGGTCATGATGTATCAAAGAGAATTTTAAATTTCATACATGAAATCTGTGTTCATTAGCCATCTTCCTGCATCAACTTTCTCTGTGGTTTCAGGTATTTAAAGTTATAAATTTCAGACACAATTCCTAAACATTACCTGCTCAGCTGTCACTTAGTAGCAGTCTTAGTATCACTACCACAGTAACTGTGTTCAAATAACCCTCACTTCACTAAATGCCCTGAAAGTACAAGAGCAACCAACATGCTAAACAGTGATACAAAGTGAAAAGGTGAAAGTTCTTAACCTAATGACAAAAGGAAAAAACTATGCCAAGGTTAACATCTATACTAAAAATGAGTTTTCATCCATGAAACTGTGAAGAAAAAGAAATTCACAGCAATTTCACCTGAAACTGGGAGACCTATATATAGTAATGTTACATATACATGCTTAGTTCAGATGGAAAATGCATTCAACTATGAAGTCTGTTACTACTATCTATGGCTTTAAGGATCTAATGGGCTTTTGGAAAGTGTAACACTCTAAACAGGACAAAGAAAGCACATTAATGCTACAGAACTTAAAACTTACCTTTGCTCTCGCAAAGTTGCTTGAATTTCACATACTCGGACTAAAGATCGTAAATTTTTTAATTCAGTACATATTTCTGACATGTGAACACTGCCCATGTTATGGGCTTCTTCACGCAATCTTGATGC